ATATATATATATATATCAATAAAGGATTCAAATCAACATATGTAGTCCATTCTCCTTTGTACAAACTATATATAATTCATTTGTGTTATGTTATATATATATATATATATATATATATACATATATTATTCAGTTAGATGTTCACCGGCGAAGCCAAGACCGTGCTCTACTTGCAGTGAAGGAGCGGAATAGACCAGTAGGTGAACTACTCAAATCCTGAGTGCATGGGTGTTTAATACAAGCCTGTTTCGTAGGCCACCGAAAAGGTGACCCACTCTTCAGTTAAACTCCATTATAACACTGACTACATCCAGAAGAGACTCTTAGACTTCTTCTTATTTTAAACGTCTAACGGAAAATGTGATAGATGACACTATCATCTCCTGCTCGCGCCCGCGCGGGTCTTTCGGTTCTGGGCGTAAAAACCATCATCCTCATTAAGTCCTTGAGGGCACAGCGTTCCCAATCTATACATCCACTCTCCCTCCTTCTTCCGCAACTCCCTCTCTCCCATGGCTCTGTCTATTAACTGTATAGTTAAATGGCTTAATCCTAAGTGTCCCGAAAATGCTGGTAGGGAAAATCGTCATTCCTCTTATTTTCAGAAGACAACTGATATATATATATATATATATATATATATATATATATATTATACAATGCAGTGTTGAAGGTTTAAGTAAATCCAGTTTACAGGCTAAAATGTGTAAATTCTTAGCTGCATTTGTTGCCTCCCATAGTACTGCTTGAACCTTGGTAGTAAATCTCCCTTCTGTTTGAAAACTGAACCTGTCAAAGAATGATTATTATCACAATTAGCAACTGAAAATTTGCTCTAAATTAGAGGTTCTGCAAATAAGACGTAGGCTCACTATTTCAGTAAGACTGAGTGCATGGAGTCCAATTTAGTCTGCAATCATACATGTACAAGTGTTTAACAAAATCAGACAACTGTGTAGCGGGAGTCCAATTTGTTTAATCACGAGTACAGCTGTACAACACTGTATGATTACTGACTGAATTAGAGGACATAAAGGCCTGTTAGACTAATGATTAGTAATAAAAAATTATTAATCCTAACTTTTTCAAAAGAAAAGGAAAAAAAAGAAAGGGGAAAAGGTCAACACATGGACAGTTGTATATATGAGCCAGTGCTTTTGTATAAATTGACTACATTAACTCGTTGCTTGTTGATATATAATAATAAAAATAATAATCAAGAAAATGCATATTGTGGTTATCGCTGTACAAAACAGTCAAGTAAATAAAAAAAAATTGGAGAGTTTAATTTTTATATCAATAATACATTGCAACGGACCAATGCGGTAATGCCATGTTGAAATGTTGTGATCAATGTCTCTTTTACATGTGGTACTGTCACGTATAAACCAGCCAAACCATTTTATAAGCCACTCTCAAATGAAGCTGTATATTTATCAACCAGAACAGAACTACATCATAGGAATTACATTGTATACAGTGTGTGAAATGGACATGCAAGTGCAGTTTTGGCGATG